TTGCGCTCGGCCCTGCTGCTCATTAAAGCTCCTCATCATCTTCACTGGCCGGGTCCAGCTCCTTGTCTTTCCGCTGGGCGCTCTCCGTCACAAACTCCTTCTGCTGCTCCTCCAGCTCCTGCAGCTCCCCCTGCAGGCGCTCCAGGTGCAGTACGCGGCGGTTCCTCAGCAGGCGCCGCGGGAACGGGTTCATGTCGCAGAAAGCGATGGCCGCCAACTTCCTGTTGAGGAGAGACCCCATTTACAGCCAGTGGAGCTACGCCGAGTGTCTGCTGGAACCCTGAGTGTTCCCACACACAGACGGAAGGCGTACCTGCTGTCGGTGACGGTCTTGGTGAAGAAGCGCAGGTACTGGTAGATCTCCACGCTGTCGTGGATCTTCAGCAAGTCGTCTTCTTTGTACTTGAACAGAGCCAGAGCGTACCTGAAGATCACCTGCAGCCGGAGGCGAGGCAACTGGTTACAGGGGCAGCAGGGGCAGTTTCTCTTGTGGTGCGTTCAAAGTCAGTTTGGTGTTGTTGTGCATTGAGGGTACCTTGGAGCCCTCGTACAGGAATGCGTCCCACAGCGGCAGCAGGATGTCGCTGGGCAGACTCTCCACAAAGACGACCAGGAACCAGTTGAAGGTGACCAGCGACACGTCGACCCTGTGACTCTCCAGGTGCGCCGCCAGCCGGGGGAGTTTCTCTGCCATGAAGTCCTTCAGGACCCGCTGGTCAGCCTGAACACGAACACATCGTCAGCGGGCGACTCCGTCACCGGGCAGGACAGCGCCCAGCTGCAGACTCACCTGAGAGGCCAGCAGGTTCTTGGTGTAGTAGTCCTGAGGCATGATGGCGTCCACCAGCGCCACCAGGCACCAGAAGGCGTCTTCCTCGCTCTGCAGCACCAGCAGGGCGATGGCCGCCAGCCTGAGGGGCACCGCAAAGTCACCATGGGGTCACCACGGGGGTCACCTGACCCGGTGTCGCCCCTCCTACCTGTTAAGCCCCTGGCAGTAGCCGACCGCCGGGTTCTGCCAGGAGAACGCCAGCAGGACGCGGCGCAGCTGCTGGAGGGCGGGGCTTGAGGGTGAGGAGAAGTTCTGATTGGTGGTCAGGGTTCTGTGCAGGTCCAGCTGGATCTGCCTGCAGGCCGGGTGCGGCGACGTCTGGCTCTTCTCGCACAGCTGCAAGCGCAATGAGGGTCAGTCACGGTTCGCCCGGACCGCGGCGGCCCAGTGCGTCGGCCTACCTGCTGGTACCGCTGGGGGTGGCGCTCCCAGACAGTTCTGGTTCTGGTCCGGACCAGCCAGCGCCACACTCTCCGTCGGTACTGCTGAGGGATGCCGGAGCGTAGCAGAGCCTTGAGCTCTGGAGACGGACACAGGTCGTCCTCTGAGCGGCCGGCCAGGTATTGCGCCCAGCGGGCCAGCAGGGGGCGCTCCATGCTGTCCTGCCGGGACAGACACAACCAGAACCAGAACCGGCCCGGTGGGTTAGAGCATCAAGAAACACTTATACAGTAACAGTTCATGTTTGCTCTGTCAGCCAATCAGGTTTCAGCAAAGCTTCTAATATTCTATGATGTCATGAACAGTGACACAGTAAACCCTGAATTGTGTCTGCAGGCATTCAAGCAGTGGCCTGTCAGTCGGGGCTCAGGGCAGCAGTCTGACCTGCTGCAGCAGGCTGTGGCCACGGATCTCCAGTGCCTGGATCTTGGCCAGCAGCTTCATGTCCTCCACCTCGTAGTCGGGGACGATCTTAAAGCCGTACTCGTCATGATCCCTGCAGACGGAGCACAGGGCGCATTTACCCGTTTCCTGTCAGGGAACGAGAGCAGGAAGCTGGTGTCCAGGTGTTCCTACCTGTCCGCGCTCAGCTTCACCACGCCCTTCGCCTCTCCGCCCAGGGCGTCCTGGATCAGCCGCTGCACGGCCTCCTGCTGCTCCGGAGCCAGAGCTTTGGCCTCCTGCAGACTCCGCAGGACGCCCAGGTAGCGGCTCTCCATCTGGCAGTTGGTGGCCTCCAGGTACGCACACTGTCCAGCCAATCAGAGAGCAGGAACATGAGAATCAGAACCAGGACTGGGCCAGGTCCAGTAAGGAACCAGACCTGCACCAGCGTTCCCAGCGTTCCCAGCGTTCCCACCTTCACCATCAGGCTCCTCTCCTGCTCGGAGCTTTTCCTCCAGAGTTTGGTCAGCTGGTAGATCTCTGAGTTCAGGAACCGGTTCTGGGTTTGATACGCCGCCAAGTCGTCCTGAAGAACAGAACCGGAACCGGGTCAGAACCAACCAGACCTCATCCTACGGAACTCTACACACGGATCAGAACCGGAACCGGATCAGGTGAGGCAGCTGAACTCCACCTTGAGATTGTCCATCTGCTGCTGGAGCTGCTTGTGGTTCTGAGGGTTCTGGTTCTGGGCGGGTCCAGAGGAGTCCGGGTGCCGAGGGTCCGACAGGCAGGAGGTCACCTGATCAGTCAGCTTCATGATCACCTGACAGGAAACAGGAAGTACAATCAGTGCAGCTGGAAACAGGATCAGATGACCAGAACCTCAGAGGTCACCCAAAGGTCATCTAGAGGTCATCTGGAGGTCGCCTGTCCTCACCTGCTGCTTGGCTGCGTTCTTCTCCTCCAGCAGCCTGACCTCTTCCTGCAGCTCAGCCAGCTGAGCGTCTCTGTCGTCCAGGCGCCGCCTCAGCACCTCGGCCTCCATCTTGGCGCCGTCCAGCCGGGCCCTCAGGTCCGCCGCCAGCCGCTCGCCGTGCCGCAGCAGCTCCAGGCGCCGCCGCTCGTCCTGCGCCGCCAGGAACTCACTGCAGCTGCGCTTCTCCAGCTGCGACGCCTCCAGCGCCTTATGGAGGATCCAGACCAGCTCCTGAGGAACACACAGCGTCGGTTCTGGTTCTGGAGGAGCGGCGGGTCCGGCCGAACCGCCTCACCTTCTGAGCCTCGACCTCCTTCATCAGCATCTGCTTCTCCTGCTGCAGGCGGGACGTCCGCTCTGAGGACGCCGCGTCCCCACAGGGGTCCAACACGGAGGACGAGACCCGGGACTTGGACCTCCAGCTGCGGGACGGAGACGCCGACCTCTGACCTGCGGGGTCGGCCGCAGGGGCATCTGAGGAGACAGGACGTGATGTCATCAGGATGAGCTTTCAGAAAGAAGCCGGTCCTGCACCGGCTCTGGGTTCCCGAAGGTTCTGTTTGCCCTCTAACTGGGTTGGGTCAAACCCAGAACCGTCCAGAACCCAGAAGGAACTCGGTACCTGCAGTACCCTGCGCTACCTGCGGGGGCGCCGCCGTCCTCCGGCCCGGTTCCGGTCCAAGGCAGATCATTGACGTAGAACACTGAGCTCTGACTGGAGTCCTGAGATGTTCTCTTCCTCAGACTGTGGACCGAGTTCCTGTTCAGAACCAGAATCAGACGGGGTCAGCTGAGCAACAAGACAACAACCGGGTCAGAACCTTCCGGATCCACTCACTGGAACTGGATGAGCGGGTGTTTGATGGAGACACTGGCGAGCATCGAGCGCTGGGCCGGAGCGATGGCCGCCGCCTCCCCCACCAGGCCCACAGGACCATGCTGCCTCGGCAGGAAGTCGTCTGCTTAGACAGGAAACAGAACCTCAGCAGGAGGCGTGGAGTAAACGTCACTTCCTGTAATGAGCTGCAGGGGGCAGCGCAGCGCCATGCTGATCATTTGACCTGTGAAGGTGATCAATCTGTGGGGTGAAAAGTTCTGAGCAGGAATGTTCAGAGAGGAACCGGGTCCATAAAGCCCAGTTCTACACGTCCATCCAGGCCCAAAACCCGACCAGAGACGGCTCTGGTCCAGATTCTGATCAGTCATGTTTCAGAACCGGGTCACCTGTGGCTTGTTTCCCCTGTGGACTGGAAGCGTTGCAGTGGCGCTGTCCGGCCTGCAGGGGGCGGCGGCGCTGCAGCTCTGAACGAGTCGGGACATGAAGTGAATACCTGAACCTGCTGATATACAGAACCAGAACCAGAACCGTCCTGTCTTCCTGCCATTCTGTCGCCTGCAGCAGCAGGTGTGATGTCACTTCCTGTCCTCAGGATGATGTAATCCGAGTTTTGAAGCGCAATGTGCCGGAAGTAGGTCAGAACTGTTTGGACCCTGGATCAGAAGAACCGGACTTCCTGTTGACAGCTGTTTCCATGGAAACGGCCCAGAGCACAGCGACTCCCTGATGAGGAGCGGGGCAGTTCTGACTCAGTGAGGCCCGCTCCGATTCAGGGAAGTGAGTCAGACGGCGCTGCTCCCTCCTGCAGGAAGGCTTTCCCAACAGGTGGGGGAGGGGGGGCAGGATGTCGGATCATCTGAACCAGTTCAACCAGTAAATGCTCCAGCAGAACCACATACAAGTTACCAACAGAACTGGGTAATTCCTCTGGGGCCAGTTCATCCGGGACCGGAACCGCTGAACCAGTCAGCTAAAGAACAACATGAACAGAACCAGAACCAGGCGACCCAAAGCAGAACCGTTATCTGAACCAGTTCAAACATCATTAACACCAGTTTAACCAGTAGAACCACAAACAGCACCTCGAGAAAGTATTCACACCCTCTGAACTTCCCCAGGTTCCGACCCGTTGTGACCCGTTCCAACTGGACCGGGAAAGAAAATGATTGGTTCTTTCTAACAGAAAAATCTGGAAAGTGCGGCGTGTTTTTGTTTCCTATGTGCTAAATAAAATCCATAGGACAGGAGTCCAGATGTTCTGCTTCTGATCTCAGAGGTTCTTCAGAGAACATTAGAGAACCAGAACCAGAACCTGGGATCAAACCCAGAGCGACTTGTTCTGGTGGATCTCACCTGTCAGGTTGTTGGTGTTGGTCCGGTCCGGTCCAGTAGATGTGTCACGGTGCTGCCACCGCTTCACCTGCAGCTGCTGCAGCCAGTAGAGCATCAGCTCCTGACTCACCGCCTGAAACACAGGAGGGGGACGGGTCAGGTCGGGTTCTGATCCAGTCAGGAGACATGGCTCAGAGGTTTCTGCTAACCAGGATCAGATACGGAATGTTAACAGGGCCAAAATTCCAGCTGCCATGGTTTCTCTCTCTGCTAACACGTTAGCTTTGGTTGTATTTACCCAGAATGCCCTGCACTGTAGCCCACTTCCTGCTTTTGGAGCAGTCTCCAGTCTGCTGGGCGTTCACATTCAAACTGAACCCAGACTGAGGTTTGGAGGTCAGAGGTCGATTACCATTCACACCTCACCAACTGAACCGGACTCTCTAGGAAAATGGACTGGAGTTGGATTTCTGGACCAGTACCCGGTCTGGTACTGTTATGGAAACCTTTCCTGTCTTTCTTTCCAGAAAGATGCCAGAACCTTCACTGACTGGTCCAGTAGAACCAGTAGAACTCCAGAAGAGAATAAAGTTTAAAAATTATTGGCCTTGCTGGCTTTCCATACTCAGATCTACCCAAATATAACCAGACCGGACCGACCCGGCCCGACCTGGAGTTCCTACCTTGAGGATGAAGGTGCGTTCGGGCGTCTGGATGTGGAAGGTGCCGCTCTCGGCGTTCAGCGGACAGGTGAAGGTGGCGCCGCTGAGTCGGATCTGGCCCAGCGGCGCCACGTCCTGCGGTGAGCGGAAGTAGAAAAGCTGGTTCTGGTTCTGTTCGTAGCTGAACCAACGCCGCTTCCAGGCCCTCAGGGGCCCCGCCTGCTTCTGCAGGAAGCCGCACAGCCTGGGCTCACCTGCAGCGTCGGGGACTCTAGGTTCCTCTGGTCCGGCAGTCAGAACCTCAGATGGATCAGAACCGGGTTCCTCCTCAGCTTGATCTGTAGAGCCTTCTGGGTTCTGGAGAACTGGGCGGAAACTTGTTTCTGGCGCTGGTTCTGGCCCACAATCAACCGGACCAGAACCTCCTGGTTCCGTCTGCTCAGAACCAGGAGGTTCTGGTCCGGTTGATTGTGGGCTTGAAGGAGGTTCTGTTGGTTCTGGTGACCTGGATAGGCAGACTCTCAGAACCGCCTCCTGGTTCTGAGAGTCTGGATCCATCCGGACCGGGTCAGTGGGAACAGGAAGTGAGTCGGAGGCGGGACTTCCTCTGTCCATCCTGCAAGAAGAACTGGGTCAGATGGAACTGGGCTGAAACCGGTTCTGATCCAATTGTCTGAGGTTCTGGCTCCTCACAGTGAAGCTGCAGCTGCGGTCCAATCGGACCGGGTTCTGTTCCGGTTCTGGTTCCAATCCGCTGCAGAACTTCTCTGGTTCTGGTGAAAAAGGCTTTGTTTGATTTAAGTGGGTCAAACGGAACCAGAACTGGGCTGGTTTGGTTCTGTAGCAGTAAAGAGTCGGACCAGGAAGGTGCTGGCCTGGTTCTGGTCCGGTTCTATCTAAGTGGGTCAAACGGAACCAGAACCTGGGTTGGTTCTGGTTCACTACAGCAGAACCTGAACAGAACCATTTGGGACTTACTGAGCGGAACCAGACTGAGGTTCTAACTGGCAGCAGTGGGTCAGGTCAGAAGGAAGGAACCAGAACCCGGAACCAACAGGTTCGGTTCTGCAGAGGTCTTACCTGAGTGGGCGGGGCCTGGGCGCACCCGGCGGCTCTGATTGGCTGCTGCTGTTGTTGTTGTTTACCTGTTGGTGTTTGTGTCTCGCGCCCCTCTCTCAGCGGCTCGTGTCCCGCAGCTCCCGCTCCGCTCCGACCCAAACACACCCAATTTCCGCTCTTCACTTCAAAATAAGAGCAGGAAAAGTCCCGCTTCCAGAAGCGACGTCAGAGCTGGAGTTAAGGCGCGGGGCTGAGTCACGTGGTTCTATGGCAGGCCGTTTTGACATAAAATCTGCTTCACCACATGACCAGTGCAGGTATCTGAAAATAGTTTGACTAGATTAGTCAAGAATAAGAAATTGATCAAATTAAGAAATCTATAATTAACTTTGGAAGAAATTACGTCATATTGGCACTAATTGTCAACTCAAGATTTTTGCAGTACTGACCATCTGAAACGTTTATTTTGAATATCAACAATTAAATGATGTCTGAAGTAAATCCAGTTGGTGCAAATTAACTTTCAGAATGAAAATAGTAACTGAACAAAACTAACAGATTTATAGAACTGTAGCGTTGACTCATTATGATTCCTTTCAGATATTTTCAAATGAATTAGCAGTATCTGGAACATTTTTTAATCTAGAATCTAAATTTAAATAAATACGTAAATAAATACGTACTGATCTATTATTCAAAAATCAAAAAGAAATTATGAAGATTTGGCAGGAGCAATGGGATAATGATGATAATGGAAGACAGTTATATGCTATTCAAAAGATTGTGGGAGGTAGTAATTGTTTGAGTGGAAGGTGGAAGTGGTTATGACTCGACTTAGAATTGGGCATTCTGGACTTAATAGTTCTCTGTTTAGAATAAGAAAGCATGAGAATGTGGTTTGTAGTTATTGTAATCAGGTGGAAACAGTGGAGCCATGTTAGAATGTGATAAATACTCAGAGGAACATCAGCTTTTAAAATCATTACTAAGCAGAACGAATATAGGACTGTATGTTTAATCTTTTAGGAAATAAATCAAATTATGTTAGAAATCTCTTGCTTAGGTTTTTAAATAACACTGGGTTAATTAATCGCATTTAGAATATATGTATGTAGGTGTGTGTATGCCGGTGCATGCTCATGCATTCATACATGTATTAATGAGTGTGTTGAGATGTGAATTTGCACATCGTAAACATCATTAAGGTGTTAAATTCCCTCTGAGATCTCTGATGGCCTCACTCCAGTCTGGTAGGTGGCGCTAAATGCACCTTAAGTTGGATGCCAGCCGCCAATAACAATCAAAAGAAGAAGAAGAAGAAGAAGAAGGAAATACCTGCTGATGGTGTTTTTATTCAGGGCCTGTTGATGACGCAGGTAGGCTTTATACATTTGTCTCTTTTAATCAGACTGAATTGTATGTTTCTGTCTCTTATATTGTTTTTTATTTGGTCGGACTGCACCAGTTTGAATTTAGAGAACTGGTTTATATGCAGTGTTTATAATGTGTTTTAGATTGATTTGATTAAAGTAATTTCATATGCATTTAGTAATTTTTGTATTTCTGTTTTTACAGTTTTATCACTGCTTCCTGCTGTCCTTTTGATTTTCTATTTTGTTAGTCCGCCCACCTTTTGATTGTTTGTCTCTCTTTACTCTTTGTGAGGCGAACAATTATCCATTTATTCTGTTTTTGTCCGTCTCGTCTTCGGGTCACTGACCTAAATACACACATTCCATGTCGCTGTTAATCTTAATCATATTTTATTTTTGTAAGGTTAAATCAAATCAACATTATCCTAAATATTTATACAGAGCTTCTATACAGGTAGCAACAAGCACTGTTGCCATGGTTACTGCTTCAGGTGGCAGCAGACTTCCGGGTATTTATGCTAACTTAACATTAAGATGTATTTGTCTTAATGTAAATCAAGACCAGCAGCTGCTCTTTTTCCCGCAAATTGGGGTTTATAAAGGAAACGTCTGCAGCTGTGAGCGTGAGTACAGATTTACTCAGCTGAGTTATTTTTTGCGCTGCACTTTTCTGACGAGGTTTAGTGTGAAAACTGCGCAGTGTTTAAAACATGAGGCCCCTGGTTTTTAATCTGAAGTCAGAGTTTCTTCCACAGGAAATTTAATCAAATCCTTTTGTCTCCATCTGGCGGCGGAATCAAACTGCAGGGAAAAATACATTAAAATATAAATGTAACATGTAAATAACCTGGGTTAAGCTCCTTATTATTTTTATCCCCTTTTTGGCGCTTGTTGCCTTTATTTTGTTTTGTGTAGTATATGGTTGTTGACTTCCGGTTTTTGATTTTATGCTTTTATTTTTATTTTATTTATTTATTTTATTTTGCTGCAGAACATTTTATTGTTTCTCCAGAAGAACTGTATAAGTTCTGGAAGCAGAACCAGTTCAGAGGTCCATTTCCAGGTTCTGATTAAAACTAGCGATGGGTCTTTAATGCGTCAAAACTACGAACTCAGACATTTATTTCTATGATGAAATAATCTACTGAACTCGGTGCCATCCCATAATGCGAGCTGCACAGCAGCGGCTACATTCATAAAGCTCAGTGCAGGTTACAGCAGATTCTGTGATTCCGATGCCGACCAGCAGGGGGCAGCAGAGCCCCGTGTCTTAAACACACGAAGAGCTCCTCAGGTAGAGAATCAACCTGACCCCAAACAGATTCACTCAGATTAACAAAAACAGCAACCTGAGCGACAGAAGCGAGCCATCCGGAGGAGACATGGAGGACAGAGTCCGTCCACTGAGGCTCACCGGAGCGGAAAAACGAGCAAGAGAGAGAGAGATGGAGCCGAGGCGAAGAGGAAAACTGAACCGACCGGAACCAGTTCCTGATCCTGCCTGACCCCGAAACACCTCAGCCGGCTGGGAACAGAGGAACAGCCGACGGCCAAAACACACACACACACACACACACACACACACACACACACACACACACACACACACACACACACACACACAGAGCGATCAGTTGGTGGGACTCGACTCGACTTGTTCTCCCCTCAGACTTCCTGCTGATCCTCATCGATCGTTCCAAATTTCAGGTGAAATTATGACGCGGGAAATCTATTTCTAATAAACTGCAGTTTATCGAGCCAAACGATCTGCAACCAGAGAAATGGAACACAGCCACAGAGTAGTGGTCTAGTCAAAGCAAGATGCTGAATGTTCCAGCTGCAGTTCTACACCACTGAAGTTTCCAGTGAGCATCCCGCACCGCCTCATCCCACAGTTTTATTCTGAAAGGTCATCACTCTGAGCTTTTTCCTCTCCTCATTGAGAAGCAGGAGGACGAGACCCAACAAGAGCTTAGAGGATTAAGTTCATTCTCACTGCCAGTCTGAATGAAACTGCATCTGCACACACACACACACACACACACACACACACACCACAGTGTTCTGTTGGTGGGACTCGGTCCAGTGAACCTGAAACGTCCCGAGGCGTCGAACTGAAACTGAAGCTTCTGCAGCTCGGTTAACTCCAGGTCTGATGGTTCTGGTCCTGGCCAGGTTCAGGATTCTGTGGTTCTGATCCAGACTAACTTTAATTAGTTAGCTAAATATTTAGCTAATATGCTAATCCAGTTGATGATAATGGGAAGTGGACTATCAAAATAAAAGCTGAGCCTTGAGACACTAACATTATAAACAGATTTTATTGGAGTTTAAAGAGGAAACCACTAAGTGGAAAATGACTGAAAAATGTAAAAATTTTAACTTTATGTGATTGTAGGAGCTATTTCTCCATTTTCAGTTAAATCTTTCAAATTAAATTGTTTAGTTCATTCTTATTTTTGTTTATTTTCTAGTTGATTCATCATTAAAATTTTAGTTTAATTCATTATTTAGAATAAGTTTCTTGGTTAGTAATTCACTTAATTAGTTAATTAACTTCAGGTTGGGATGTGGGAGTTTCACAGGTGGGTCTTCGGTAGATTATTATGCACCTGGGTGGTCACAAGGTTTTTACCAGCCTATCAGCCGCCGGTGGTCAGTCAGAGAACCGGTTCAGGAATCGGAGCAGAATCCTGTGAAGCCTGTAACCTTTTTGCCTGAACTACGAAATAAAACAACCAACTTTTTGATCCTTTGTAAACCAGAATCCTCGGAGCATCAGGCGACTATCTGAGTTGGATTCACTTTTTGTTTTGATCACTTTTGAGTTTTTTGAATTTAAGTTTTGGGACAAATAGTCACTACAGTGATTAAAAACTTTTTTTTACAAATACAGAAATGACAAGTGTGGTGTGCAAAAGTATTCAGCCGCTTTAATGACTGGAGTCCAGCTGTCAGTAATCTGATCTAATCTGATCTAATCTGAGGAGAATCAGAGGCTCAGCATCATCACAGAGCGATCGGCGCCATGAACCGCCATGTTTCATCAATCTGATTTAAAATCAACCTTTAAACTCTGACCTGGAGCTCTGGCTGGATTTGACCTTTGACCTAAACATCCAGAGGTTTTCCTTAATCTAATCCTCCTCCGTGCTCCAGGCCGGCCCGACCTGCAGGGACCGGGTCCATTAGATCTAAAGGATCTAATGGACCCGGTCCGGATCCTTCGGGTCTGGACCAGATCCGGTCCAGTCCGATAGGAGGGTTAAAGCTCCTCAGCGCTGAGTTTCTAAACTGCTGCAGGTTGTCGGGCTCAAACCAAGGTTCTGTTCAGACCCGCGGGTCTTTGGTTCTGGTTCAGTCTCCAGTCCCTCCTTCCAGCCATCAGAGCCAGCTGATCGGATCATCTGCTGGAACTCCAGCAGGACGGGGAACAGAAACCAGTTTGACTTCTTCATGTTGAACTGGGAAGCTTGTGGTGCTGCTCATGGGTAGCCCAGAATTATTCATACCCCCGACAGCTGAAAGTTTGATGGAAGACTGATGTTCTGGGGCGGCCTAGTCAAATCCAGACCGGGTTCTGATGAATACTAGTGAGCTCAGCTGTGTGATGAGCAGCTGGACATGTCCCCATGGTGTCTTCAGAGTGAGACGTCTGCAGGGACAGGATGTCTTCAGTCAGACAGGACTCTGGGACAAACACGGCGCTGATTATTCCTCCCATCTGTCCCCGTCTCACCGGCCGTCAGGACCCAGCAGCCACTGAGGGAGGGTGACAGGGGGGTGAAGGGGCCCCGGGCCCCGATTGTGTCCCTGCAGCAAAGGACTCTTCTATAGCTTTTTGATTGGCTTTCAGTCCCCACCCGCTGACGGGGGCGGGGGCAGGGGGGGTAAACTGGGGAGATTTACTGGGGGGGTAAACTGGGACAGATGGGGCTGATTGTTGCTCTGTACGCACATTAAGAACGAGACATCTGCAGAGACACTAAACCGGGACAGGAGGGACATGGGGACATCCTGCCGACTGGGTCAGAACCAGAACCTTTAAACTGGGTCTGCTGGTCCTCACAATCACAGCAGCATAAAAACAGTGAGCACACACAGTCATGTTTTTGTGTTTTCTGGGGACTTTACATTGACTTCCATTAATTTTCTAGAGACTAACCCTATACCCTCTAACCCTCCCTACCCTACTCCCTAATCCTTACCTCCTACTCCCTACCTCCTACTCCCTAACCCCTAATCCTT